GTTTGAGCACGCGCCAATGTGCGAGTGGGATAAAGCAAAGGATAACCTAGTTCTCTCCAATCTCTAGAATGGAAGCAAGGCGCACATGCAGAGACTGATGGTTGGAGCCTTGTTTTTCCTTTTTCGCTCTCTCCAACCTAATTTTTTTTTATTATTTTAAATCATTAATTCTTGCTCTTTTTATTATATATAATAAACGAACACGATTCTCCACTCTGGTATGATATTGTCCACGCATAAACTCTCATGACTTCGTTCTGGGCTTCTCCAATGGAGATAATAGTTTTTTATTATAAACTCATGATCATTCACTAAATTAGCCGATGTGGGACTTTCATCATCCAACAAGAATCATACTTGCATAGATTGTATCAACCATGTCCTTGCTCGTTTACATATGGTCGTGCTACCGACCCTTATTGTTGTTTGGTTGCTTACGCTATTTAATGGGTTCAAGACCTTCGTGGCTAACTACAATAGCATATGTATGCTACCAGCTCGGGTTTCTTGATTTGGACTTCATTTTTTTAACCCAATTGCTCGAGTTTAGTTTAAATAACTTATTTTTTTTAATAGGTCTAAAATAATACAATAATTTGAAGATGAAAGGACCACTAAGTGGCAAGAGCAAGGTGAAATGGACAAGCAAAAGCAATTTTTTTCATTATTTAATTTGTCGTTTTTCTAATTATTGCTATTTTTTTTAATTATGTTCATAAAAAGAAGTAAAATTTGTAGCTTTAATCCTCATTCTTATTATTATTATTATTATTATTATTATTATTATTATTATTATTATTATTATTATTTAGAATATCTTAAAAATATGAAAAAAAAAGTTGTTATGATGTATTTCTATTGGTAACAATTTCAAAATTAAAAATGCTAGGCTTAAAAGTAATCCTATGTTAAATGGACTCAGATTTCAGCTATTGTTGTTCATATGCAGCCCGAAAACATAATGAAGGTGGGGAGTGGGGCTGCTCGGGTGCGATCTAAAACGACCTCACATTCTAGAAAGAACCAGACAATGGAGAATATGAGTAAGAAAAAAAGCATGCTCAAATTACACGTGTAGATAGTTTTCACTGTTAGGAGTAATTAACGACAAGCAAGTAATATGATTATGTTGCAGAGGAAAATTGAAGCGAACCCAGATTCCAAATCTTAATCTGAATCCTGAATATGAAGAGTTAAATGAGGATAAGTTCTTTTTATCAGACAAGGGGATTGTTTAGATCGGTAGTAGCACGTGGCTCAACCCAAACATATATCTCTCTATTAAGTAATTTAGAAAACGGTTTCCCGAGAATCGTTTAACTCGAACATGTACCAATTAAGATATAAACAACTTTTTGTTAATCAAATAGTTATTAGGTCGATTGTAATCGGTCATATCAAGACGAAGAACAAAGGAAGGTAAACAGCAAACAGCGTATAAGTGAAAGAAGACAAGTGAAAAGGACACTCATTTATACATACTATTTTCAATACCGACACTGTACTCTATTAAAAAGATAAATGAAACACAAAGTTTTATCAGATCAACCGTGAACCTCAAAATATCAGAGTCAGGTGATATAAAATGACAAGAAACAACAATGGTACCCGTAAAATGAAGGTATAGTTAAGTACAAGCAAAAAGTTCAGGTTTTTTGATAAGCCGACGACACAACATATCTCTCCTATTATTGTCCTTCCTCCCCATTAATGTTATAACTTATCGCTATAGTATATTTTCAAATAATTCATATATATATATATATATAATACCGAAACTTATTATTTTATCTAAAAAAAATATCTTTAAATTTTTAAAAGTTTCAATAATACTTTAAGTATAAAAAAAACATTTGTCTGTACATAAGATAGGATAGAAACTTTTAATATTTTGTTTTAAAAATGTTTTCAAAATATTTTGAACTTTTAACCGTGTTTCAAAATTATCTTTAAACTTTAAAAAAATTACATTAATACCCTTTAATTAATAAATAAATAAATAATCGAAGGGTATAATTGAAAATTAATGAAAGACAAAAACTATTATTAAATAAATAAAAGACAAACGAAAACAAAAAATGGGACCAAATCTTATCTCCAAATTATACGGACTGTTTTCACTATTTTCGAGTTATAAGCAACACGTTACAAAATTGTTTTATTATATATATATATATATATATATAATTTTAAAAAATTGAAATTATAAAAAAAAATAAAATCTCATCATATTTCTGTTCAAATCCATATAATAAAAAATAAAAATTATTTTGAATTATTTCTAAGAATAAAAAAATGGATCAAGTTGATATAGATAATAAATATAAATTTTTTAAATTATTCATTAGTTTCATAAAATAAATTATTATCTAAAAAAAATAAAATAATTAAAATTTGATTAGCTAGGAAGTGAGTAATAACAACAAACCCGAGAAGTTTCGAAGGAAGCTATATATCAATTAATTGAAACACATGAATTTTGTATGCATTCAACATCTTAGATCTTAACTCAAGGTCTTGTTAAATAGTTGTAGTGTTCGATATTATATATGAGCACACGTTAATACGATCCGATCAGAAGAAGCAAGATTTTGGTTACTAGATCTCGAATACGATTTTTAGACCAACATGAATCTTCGGGTCGATCAGGTTGGCTACTCATATGAACTAAATAGGGTTCACAACTCAACTATGTATCTTTTGGGCTAGATTGGATTGGGTTCGGTTCTGTCTCTAATTTGGGATAGAAAGTCCGAAATCTAGAGAAATGATGAGACTTTAGAGTACAGAGATGCGGAGATATACGAAGAGAGTGCAAGAAATTAGAGATAGAGAAAGCACGAGAGAATGTAAGGGACAGACAGTGACTTAAGGGACAAAGATAGAGAGAGTTTGAGAGTCAAAGAGAATCGAGAGAGACGAAGATGGTCAATAGAGACTGACAACAGTACCTTATTAATATATTTATTTAACTTTTAATTTTGTGTATAATATGTTCTCACCCTATACTGTCTGTCATTTTTTTTAATATAATAAATTTATAAAATATTAAATATATTTTTAAATTTATAAATCTATAAAATAATTTTGTTTTAAAAAAAATTAAAAAGTTAAGGAATTAAATTTATAATTTCTTACACTAAATCAATTACTTTTATAAATTAACTCCTAACAATTAATATTATAAACAAACTTCCAATTCAAATTTAAAGTTTCCAACTGAATCCAGGGTGAAAAGACAAAAATATCCCTCAAATCCTGCCACGTCAATGAGTCAATTCAGTCAAAACAGGGACAAATACCGTAAACTTCATAGCGAGCCAAGGCCGGCTACCGTTTCTTAAAGCCCCCCCCGGGAAGACGAAAAGGATGAAGAACAAACCCCCCGATTCACTCAACTTCCAGTTCAATCGCTCAAAGAAAGATCACTTCATCGATGAAAATTTCATATTCACTATCTCATACATGATCGTTCGCTGAGGATTTGTATTTCTTCAACTTCCAGGTCAGTTCGTGTTCAATCTCGTCCGTTTTCTGTGTTCTTAAGCAGCGATTTGTTTCTTTCTTGTTGTTTTCGGTTCATTAGACTGAGGATTTCGCGAGTTCGTCGTTGATTTTTATGTTCTTGTTTAGTGAGGTTATGAGTTGTGAATCTTTAAATGAATTAGGAGTTTTATTCTGCCATGAAAACCTTGATGATTGTAGAACAGTACAGATATGAGTTCTTCACTCTGTTCAAGAATCTAGGTATGAGTCGATTTGGGGATTTTACGATTAAAGAAGACAGAGAGGAAAATCAAAATCGATTGAGTAATCAATCGGGGACAGGATTTCGCCCTGTTCCATTGGAGATTTCTTCGATTCCTGTTTGTCATCCTTCTTCCCCAAAGATTCAACCCCCTTCGACTGATTGTAACCCTAAACCGATTTCACCAACTCCAAGAAGTGATCCAATTCCGATTAATCCTGAAATTTGTGATGATTTTGATGAACATTGCTGTTATAATAAGAGTTCATCCTACCCTGAGCTTTGGGCTGGACCAACTTACTCAAATTCACCCCCTGCAAGTTCATTGCCAATGCCCAATTTCTCAATTCGAAGAAATATAATTTTGTCACTCCAATTGCCCACCGGTTCAACCGCTCAAGCAATCAGAAGAACTCAACCAATTGTGAAATCTGCACCACCATCCCCAACGCGGGGCCATAACCATCGCCCTTCCTCTTCTAGAGAGCTATTTCATGGTGTTGATGATGCAACAAGAACACTCAAACAAATTCTTCACCTCGATATTGACTCTGAATGATATGAGTGATGTTTGAGTGAGCATCAGGCTCACTTGTTTGTAGGACACATTCTTTTTGATGCGGGGTTAGTGTGTATGAATGACTGTAAATATAGTGAAGAATCATGGTTGATATGTGTTTTTGGGAAGTGGGATTTGTAGCTGATGGTAAATATTCTCAGCTTTCAATCTTTAGTTCATCCTGATTTAGGCCTGTAAACTTAGATATTACGTGAATGAAATGAAATAATTCGTAGAGATTTTATCTTGTTATGTCTTGTTAGATGGGTCAAGTCAAGTATGTTCATCTTATCTTATTCTAAACGAACTATCTCTGTCCTTAAAATGTCAATTTTAGACACGTGTCATTCATTCACTAGTCAAAAGAATAACCCGTTAGTCTGAGATGATTGATCTAAACCCCTAGTCGACCCATTATTTCGAGGAACTTGTACTAACCTCCCTCCTCCTATCATATGAATTGCACTATAATAGAATGAGCTTTCTCATCTACTTTGTTAGTCTATTGAGCGAGTTTGATCGAATACATTCATTCTATCTTATTTTACTCAATGAGCCATCTAGATTCATCTTGATTATCTCGATCGACCAAAGCTAATTCTTACGAAAGTTGACGTGGTAAAATGTTTTGAATTAGAATTTTTTTTTTTTTTTTTGTCACGTTATGTTGAAATAAAATAATAATAACTCAGATTTAGTAAAAGCCAAAGCAGCAATCATTTCAGTAAACATATTGAACATATTTTATAATTTCTCTCTCTACAAACACTTCTCTCTCTTATCTATATCTTCATGAGAGAAACCCAAAAAGAAACAAAAATTATTATTAAAAAAAAAAAAGAAACCCATGAATTTTATGTGAAAATTTACTGGAAGAAGAACCAGAAAACCAGAGGTTGAAGACGATGATGGAAGAATCAAGATGATTGTTGTTGTTCTTCATCCAAAAGCATTTCTTGGTAGCGACATTCATGGCTGCAGAAAGCTTTCTCACCTCTGCAATGAACACAGCAATGGACCAAAATTAATACTCTTCCAGACCAAGAACAAACCAGAAAAAATGGGCGCACCTGTAAATATAGATGTCCTTTGTGAGCTCAAGATTTCTGTTGCAGGTGTAGCAGAAGCTAAGAAAATCATTCTTGTTGTTCTTGTTGTTCTTGTTCTTGTTCTTCAAATCCGCCATGGAAATTCTCTCAGGTCCAGAATCAACAGAGCTTTTCACCACGAAGTTATCAAAAATATGAGTAATTTTAGCATCAGGTCCATGAGTTCTCACACAAGTATACTCTTCACAAACCTCCATCTCCTTCACCGTCATCATCCCCCCATCACCAATCCCAGAAGGAAACAAATCTCCACCGCCGTCGTCTACGGCGGAATCCGGCAGCAGAGGAGGAGGGATTTTGACACGAAGTTTAGCTCTGAAAATTACACTTTTACAGAGCGTGGAATCGTATTTCTCCTCAATTAAAGCAAGCCCAATTGGGTTTTTGCCAGAGATTTTCTGTTTGTTTCCTGGGAAAATTGGTTTCTTGGGGGAATTGGGTTTTGTGTTGGGATCACAAGAGAAGGGATTTTGAAGAGAGAAAAATGGTTTGGAATCAAAAACAGAAGTGGGACTAATCACAGAGTGATCAATTGATTGTGTTGTTGTTGGTGTAAAAGGTTTGAATCTTGGAGAACCAAACAGAGAATTTGAAACTGGTGAAGCTTGATCCGCCATTAAAGCTCTAGATCTGTTCCTCAACATCTTGAGAAACCAGTTTCTGGATTTGGATTTGGATTCAATAAACAAAAGGGTATTAGAAACCCTATGGAAAAACGGATCTAAATGAGAAGAAGCCTTCGAAAATGAGTGCTAAACTTCAGTTGCTTCCATGGCAGTTCCGTGGAACAAGAACAAGAACCAGAACAAGAACAGAACAACAAACCACCGCTGATGAAGGCCAATCAGACGCATTTACAGAGGAAAAACAGATGAAGATGATGATGAAGAAGAAGACATGGATGATGGGTTGAACTCAACTTAATAACACAATCCTACAAAACCTCCAAAAATCGCTCCTTTTTTCACTCCAAAAGTTGTCATTAGTTTGATGTAATTAGTGGAAATGTAATGACTCATTCAAATTAAAAAAAAAAGAAAAGCAAACCTTATCTTCTTATCCTACTTCTGTTTGCTTTCCAACCTACTTAATCTATTTATACCTTCTCGTTCCTTAAAACGTTTAAATTTCATTTCAATCTCGATCCCTTAGGGTTCAAACTATTGAAAAGTGATTGTTTCGATCAACTAGTTAATATTTGACGTATAGATTTGTCTGTTGGTGTAAAAATACGTTAAAGCTACATTGTACAAGTGTCAACTGTTAGACGAACACAATTCTCCACACTGATATGATATTATCCACTTTGAGCATAAGCTCTCATCGCTTTGCCTTGGGCTTCCCCAGAAGGCCTCATACCAATGGAGTTAGTATTCCTCACTCATAAACTCATGATCATTTCCTAAATTAGCGGATGTGGGACTTTCATCATCCAACACCAACAAGGACGTTGGCCTTTGAAGGAGGCGGATTGTGAGATCCCACGTCAATTGGAGAGGGAGAAACGAAACATTTTTTATAAGAGTGAAAACTTCTCCCTAACATACGTGTTTTAAAAACTTGAGAGAAAACTCCAAAGGGAAAACCCAGAGCGAAAAATATGTACTAGCAGTGAGTTTGGGTTGTTACAACTCATCTATTCTCATGTATCTTCGCTGACATGACTATGTTATCTACTTGTCTCGGATTGCTTTTAAGAAAATTTATAGGAAATCATCTAATATAGGACCGACACGAGTTATTTTTATTCTCGAGATCGCTCTTATTTAAATATAGTTTCAGTTTATTCATGCAACCTCTTCCCTCGGGCGTCACGGAGGATAAAAAATAAACCTAATAATTTTTTTTCTTCGAATAATAATTTGTTTCTTTAATATATTTATGTTATTTAATGGTGGGGTTTGTCGTGTAGTGTGACAGTTTATTCTCATGCTTATATCACGTGAAGCCTTGTCCTGACTCGCTTTTAGACTAGGCCATATTTGGGTATGGACAAATTATATTATATATAAAATATTTTATCATTTTCAAAGTGAAAATGATGAGAAGTTACAAAATAACGTGAATTATTAGAGCAAAACAAAATTAAATAAATTATTTATATTAATCTTTTTCGTCAAACAAAAATAAATTATTGACCCCATTTGGTCGGTTCGTAATTTTTAAAATTTTTTATTTTTAACAAAATAAAATTAGAATATATAAAATATCTATCTATGATTTATAACTATTTTTAATAACTATTTTTAAAAATTAAGAGTCGGAATATATAATCGAAAATAATATTCATAAGAATTAATTAAAATTAAATTCACGAATTAATCTATAAAATTTTTATTTATTTGAACTCAATCCAACCTACGTGCTGTGAAAATGGAGTATTCTTACAAGGGTGTGAAAATCTCTCTATAATAGACACGTTTTAAAATTGTGAGGCTGATATTTGATACGTAACAGGCTAAAAACAGACAATATCTGTTAGTGGTGAGGTTAAAGTGTTACAAATTGTATCAGAGTCAAACACAGGATAACATACTAGCGGGAACGCTGGACTCTCAAAGGGAGTGGATGGTAACATCTCACTGCTTTCACTATAATTAAATTAAAGCATATTGTTGGAAATTAATATAAATTAGAAAATGTTAGAGAAAATAAAATTATATTTATTCACTCTAAGCCCAATAAAGCAGCCCGCTTCTTTGTAACGGAACCGAGCCCAGTTCGTAAAATAAAAATAAAAATGAATAAAAGAGCGACGAAAACCTAACTCTTTCATAAGTGCTCCACCCTTCTTCTTCACGCCGTCTCCACCTTCGTTTCAGCAGCTCAGTGTCGCCGCCGTTTTCTCCTCCGCTTCTTCATTGCTTCTCCCGTTGTTGTCCTTTTCCGCTCGTGCCACTACCACCACCGTTGTCGTTGTATTTTCTCTACTCCCTTGCTGGTACTGGTATTCTTCTAATATCCACCTATGTCTTTCTTCTCGCTTGAAAAACGGAAATTAGAACTTCTCTAATGATAAAACAGTGGAGTTGTTCGTTTTTTTTTCTTTCAAATGATTTTCAACAATGACAGTAATAGCCGAAGAAAAACAGCTCTGCGGCAAATTGGAAAGCTGTTTGTGTCCGGATGTTCTGATTCGAACATGGTTTAGTCATCCAATTTTCTTTTAATTTATTGCTTGAATGATTGACTTAACAACTTCAACCTTATTCATTAGGAGCAATCGCTCAATTGAATGGTAATGAACCAATAACTGTGTTCTATGAATGTGGATTGTTTTTGTTTCTTAATGTAAAATTGAACTGCTTGATTTCAGAAATTTAAAGTAAAGAATACATAAATGAAGTTCTCACGTGTGTTTCATATATACTGATAGTAGAGATTTTGCTGAGTTATTCTCTTGTGTTGACAGTGAAATCCATTTGCACAAAAACCTCGTCTTCTGAAACTTAAAGATGGTTAAGAGGAGTAAAAGTAAGTGGGTGCTATTTATAATTTTGGAAGCCAATAAATGCTTTTTTTTTTTTTTTTTTCTGCAGCATCTGGGACGTGTTTGTATGGTTTCTTTTTTAAAATGTTTTCTTTCTTGTAGAGAGCAAAAGCAAGAGGGTTACCCTAAAGAAGAAGTACAAGATCATTAGAAAGGTGAAGGAGCATCACAAGAAGAAGGCGAAGGAAGCCAAGAAGCTAACCGTCAAGGGCAAGAGCAAGATTGAGAAGGACCCAGGTATTCCCAATGACTGGCCCTTCAAGGAAGAAGAGCTCAAGGCTCTTGAAGCTCGTCGTGCCCGTGCGCTTGATGAGATGGAACAAAAGAAAGCAGCTCGGAAGGAGAGGGTAATACAATTTAATACCTTTTATCGTAGATGGTTTTAGATTTTTATGTATATATTTATGTGCTTGTGAATGCGTGACTGTTACTCCATTCATATTAAATCCGTTGTTGTAGCAATTTACTTGTAGTGTAACTGTTTAATATTGTCCAGGCTCAAAAGAGGAAGCTAGGGCTGCTAGCAGATGATAATATGGCTTCAGCAGAACAAAGATTAGGAGGTGTAAAGGATGTAGATAACTCTGTAGGGCCACGGAATCGTGGTGGTAGGTTGTTTTCTATGTGAAGTTTTGGATAAAAAGTGGAAAAAACAAATTGTGATCTTCACATTTTGCGTTGGGTTTCTGACTATAAATATAAAATGTGCAGATCACTCGGACAGGGCTTTCTACAAGGAATTGGTCAAAGTTATTGAGGCCTCAGATGTTATTTTAGAAGTTTTGGATGCACGAGATCCCCTTGGCACCCGTTGTATTGACATGGAAAAGATGGTGATGAAGGCGGGTCCTGATAAGCATCTTGTACTGCTTCTGAATAAAATTGGTAAATTCCATCCCCCTGTACCAAAATGCTGTTAATTAATGAAAATGAACATAAGCATAGAAAATAGATGCCATACATCATGGTTATCTTTGTTCATTATTTCCTAAAGAGTTAGGCTATGGCCAAGTTTGAGACATTTTACAATTTAGTTATATTTTAAGATCGATTTCAATAATTTCACGCTCATTTCAAAACATTTTAAAGTATGAAATCTGCTTATAAAAAGATCAATTAGTAAAGAATGGATAATGAATGGACAGGTAATGAATGGAAATATATTAGGGAAGAATAGAAGCTGTTATTTCTTAATGATGCAATCTTTACTTTATCTCCATAATAAAAATCCTGTGTTGTGGATGGATTGGTCATGTGAGACCCATGGAGATCTGTAGCAATCACAGTTCGTATATGTGATTATATATTTTTTGTAACAGATCTTGTCCCTCGAGAGGCCGTTGAGAAATGGCTTAATTATCTGAGAGAAGAATTGCCTGCTGTTGCCTTCAAGTGTAGCACGCAAGAACAAAGGTCCAACTTAGGTTGGAAATCTGCAAAGGCATCCAAAACGAAAACAAGCAATTTATTGCAGAGAAGTGATTGCCTTGGAGCTGAAACTCTCATTAAACTGTTGAAGAATTATTCAAGAAGTTATGAGGTACTTCTAAGGTTTCTGGAAGGTCTATAGAATTTTTTTACACTTTATTCAAGAATTGATGATTCTTTTTTGTTTTCTTTAGTGCTGCTTTTTGTGTATTCGCCTGATTTGTTTTATCATCCCACTGATTTTGATGATTATTTATCGATATATGTGCACGGGATTGTCGTATACTCTTTTGCTCCACGTGATTAGTTTTCAAGCATGTGTTTATTATTCTATTAAGTTGTCTCTGATCAATTTCTGGAATTTTCCTTTCCAATTTTGGGTAATTGATGCGGTCAACTGTGTATTTCCATTTGGCAGATTAAAAAAACAATTACTGTGGGTATTATCGGCTTGCCTAATGTTGGCAAGAGTAGTCTTATTAATAGTTTGAAGAGATCCCATGTTGTTGGCGTTGGTGCTACGCCAGGATTAACAAGATCGATGCAAGAGGTCCATCTAGACAAAAATGTCAAATTGTTGGATTGCCCAGGTGTTGTAATGCTCAGAGCCAAAGAAAATGAGCCATCTATAGCTCTGCGGAATTGCAAAAGAATAGAGAAGTTGGAAGATCCCGTTGCTCCTGGTAAATCGAATTGGCAATATTGTATCTTCTTTTTGTGGTCCTTGAGTTTTGGTGTTCTAAAGCTTATTTACTACTTTTGGATATCATAGTTAAGGAGATCTTGAAGCTTTGCCCTTCCAAAACCCTGGTAACTCTGTATAAGCTTTCAAGCTTCGATACGGTCGATGATTTTCTGCAGAAGGTAGCTGTGATTCGGGGAAAACTTAAGAAGGGGGGTATTGTGGATATTGGAGCTGCTGCTAGAATTGTTCTGCATGACTGGAACGAAGGTATTTTCTGTTTTTCTTTAATTGTGTTGTATTATTTAAGAAACACATTCTAAACTTTCATTGATGTATGAAAAGTGCTAAATAAGTTGGACCTTCTCCCAACTACTCCTGTTAACATTATTTAATGAAAGTCACCAATGCAAAATGAACTCGACAGATCAAACCAAGGAGAAGAAGCGTTCCTTTTGCTATGACAGAAAATGTTCATTTTTTCCATTTGAAACATAAAAAGTTATCCAGAATCTGGTTTTAAATGCTTGCTCACTTGCTCGATGTCATAGGTAAAATTCCATATTACACGATGCCTCCGGTTAGGGGTCAGGTAGATCCTTCAGAGGCAAGGATCGTCACAGAACTCGGGAAAGAGTTCAATGTTGACGAAGTTTATAGCGGTGAATCTTCATTCATTGGAAGCCTGAAATCCGTGGACGATTTCAATCCTGTTGAAGTTCCCCCAAGTTGTCCACTGAATTTTGATGAGAGTAGCATGCAAGAAGAGCAAGAGGTATGCCTGTTTTCCTCTTTCTCCTCTAAATCTGTCTTATAGTTCAGTCACACATACGCGACACTTGCCAGTTCTCTGCAACCAGTTTAGGGTTGAGCTTCTAACTTAAGTCTCTGTTGTATGATTTATTTCATATCTAAGCTTTTAGAGATTCTCAACCCGTGCAAAGTTCTGTCTTCTTGTAACCTCTGTTATTATTTACATGTGGGGTTTAGGACTATATATACATATTACTATTTTGCAATGCAGAACGCGAATGACGAACCATCTATGCAAGACGACGAAGTCCAGGAGAATAGTGAGGACGAGTCCATGGAGCAGGAAGAAGACGACAAAGCCAAGGGACAACAAGATGCAACTAGCAGACAAAATGAGAAGCTGTATGCAGCAGAAGGTATTCTAAATCCAAAACTGAGGAGAGCGGAGAAGAAGCAAAGGAAAAAAGGCAACAATAGTAGTAAATCTTCAGTGTCCACGGATGCCATGGAAGATGATGACTATGATTTTAAAGTGGATTTCAAGAAGTGATCAATTCCCTAACACAAAGAAGAATCACAATTACAACCACAAGATTCGTGGTTGCCATGGAAATCAAGCCTCATGCGCGCTGGAGTGTAAGTATATTCAAGGTTTTGTGATAATTTAACACTTCAGTTACTTTTCCATAGAGTTTTGGTGCTTTTAGATTCCTAGTCGTAATGGAAGGAAATTTTGGTTAGTGTATGTGTCCGTCTTGAATTTGTTCATCTGTACGAGTGAAGCATGTTAGGAACAGCTTGTACTGAATTGGACTGGAATTACAGAATCTCAATTTTGGCTTTGATATCTATTATTTTGATTAGAAAGAAGAGAGGGGTGGAGACGTGACGATAGTAACAGACACGAACGTCTCCGAACCTCGTTCGTGACTCTACATCATATGCGACTATATGAAGCTTTTAGGCAGGGTGGTTTGTTTTTGCTGTGTTTTTTTGGAAGGCTTCAATGATGGTTCCTCTTTACTGCTCAAAATTTATCTTCTAGCAAATGTGGACGTGTCTGTGATCGGAGTGGGAGCGAGAGCGAAAGTAGGGTTAGAGGGTTAGAGCGAAAGTAGAACAATGATAATGATATGAACCTAACAAAATTGAGGAGTACAGTTTCTTGTAAATATTTAACACGTCTAGTCTCAAGGTGAGCTTTTTGATCAATTAAATAAATAAAAAATCGGACTAAATTAGTCATCTCGATGTTTAGTTTTCGATAAAAAAATGGAGTGTTATAATTTTTGTAATTCAATTTGAGATGCATATAACTCAATTAGTACTTTATCAAAATAACTCAACTAGTATACCCTCGTTCGTTCATCTTCGGCACAAGAGCGCTCGATCAGTGAGCTATTACGCAGTCTTTCAAGGGTGGCTGCTTCTAGGCAAACCTTCTGGCTGTCTCTGCACCCCTACCTCCTTTATCACTGAGCGGTCACTTCGGGGCCTTAGCTGGTGATCCGGGCTGTTTCCCTCTTGACCATGAAGCTGATCGAAAATAGTGATTCAATTAGTATACTCTCGAGCACGTAGCTTAGTTAGCATAAGTGTGAAATGCACGCAGCTCAATTCTGTTCGAGTGGTCAACTTTACCCCCACACAAATTTTTTTTTGAATGGACAAAATAAAAAAATGGGAGCAAAAATGGAATAACCATCTTAAAATTGGAGAAAAGATGAAATTTTTATAAAAATGTAATGAAATTTTACCCAAGTAAGAATAGGGTTGTCTTCTTCAAGGCTTCAACAGGCGAAGCTTTAAAAGCTTAATACCAGTACGGCTGTAGGCTGCAACAGAGGCTCAATCGGGAGCTCGTCAAAGGCTTGTCGAAGTGGAACAAGCCGCCATTATTTTGCTTAGCTTCCTATTTTTCCCCCTGTAAGTATGGTTTTAGCGCCCTCTCCAATTTTCTTTCATGTCGACCGCCTCTCTTAGAATGGTTGATGCTGGAATCCGTCTTCATCTGCTTTGATTTTGGACCTCATTGCCGCGTTATTTACATGCGTTCATGATTATATTTCAGAATATTAGGCCTTCTTTTTATGTATCCCTTAATTTGTGTAGCATTCTGGTTGATATATATGAATTTTGGTTTGTTCGTGGAGCGGTTAATCGTGAGACTCAGCCACTGCTTTTCGGGTTTTGGCTTTACACTTGCAATACAAAATTTTCGGGTTTTTACACGGTGTTATGATTCGGCTTAGTTTAGTTTTGTATTTGTTTGAAGTTTGAACTCACTTATGTGAAAAAGAAAAAGAGTTTAAACTATTTTTCTTACTTCTCTCGTAATCGCAGTCTATTTTTCTTCCTGCTATCTGACAAGAATTTCCATTTTTCTTATGAAAATGAAACTTGTATTAACTTTTAAGAGTTTAAACTATTGAACCGGTGCTTTGAGATTGAAGAAAACTTGATACGAAGTGTATTTTGATAGTAATGTTATTATGACAAAATAGGAACAAAAAGTGCTTAATTTGTAGTTGTCATACTCATTTGCAAATTAGAATAAAATGGTCTGTTCTTGTTCTGGACTTTTACTTCCAAGCATTGATGAACTTAGTCTTGCTCTTGCATGCCGCAGATGGGAAGAATTGATGCAAATGTCGGTAAACCTATCCGTTGCAAAGTCTAACCAATGTTGGTACATTTGAACTTTGGATGATGTATTGGCTCTGTGGTTGGAACTGTAAGATGTCGCATCTGATCGTGAAGTCGAGTTGCAGGGCTGCTGTGTATTCGCCTTCTGCTTTGTACCTCTTATTTCATGGCTCTATTCACAAAATCTTTGGGGTCTGTGACTGCTCACTCAATTCAAATTGCCAGTCTTTGAGAGCATTTGTTTCATCACCATCAAGCTCAAATGTAGAACCCATTGTGCTAGGTCTTAGGAGTAGATGCATCTTTGACATCAAGTTGCTATCTACAATGTCTGAAAGAATTTTGGTTCAGGCTCGAGATCCTGCAAAACTAAGTATGGACATACAAACTGCTATTGAAGAGCTTAGATTGAACGATACGTGGAAGTTGTACCAACAGCATATGCAGATGGAAGGATTTCCTAGAAAATCTGTTGTTAAAAACATATTAACAGGTTTTGCAGAAAGTCTTGATACTCAATGGCTTGAGAAGGCCTATGATTTGGTAGAACAGGCATTTACAGAAGGGAAACAGAACTTGTTAGAGAAGGACACTCTAATCTATTTGTCTTTTAGTCTTGCGAAATCGGGGCTACCAATTCCAGCATCAACTATTCTAAGAAAGTTGATAAAAATAGAACAATTTTTCTCTGTTGCTGTTTGGTCTGCAATATTGGCTCACATGTCTCAGACTGGTCCTGGGGCTTACCTTGCTGCAGAATTGGTTCTTGAAATAGGCTACTTGTTTCAAGATGGCAGGGTGGATCCACGTAAAAAATGTAATGCCCCTTTGATTGCTATGAAGCCTAATTCTACTGCCTTTAACATTGCTCTGGCGGGTTGTGTCTTGTTTGGGACAACTAGAAAGGCAGAAGAACTCCTTGATATGATGCCTAGAATTGGTGTCAAAGTAGATACCAACTTATTGATGGTAATGGTTCATATACATGAAAGAAATGGGCGGAGAGAAGAATTAAGGAAATTACAGAGACACATAGATGAAGCCCATAACCTAAGTGATGTTCAATTTCGGCAGTTTTATAGTTGCTTACTAACATGTCATCTGAAATTTGGAGATCTTGAATCTGCCTCTAACATGGTTTTGGACATGCTGAGGAAAGCAAAGATAGCCAAAAATTCGGTTGCTACAGCCACCTTAGCATGTGGAATTGCTGAAAATCACGTAAGACCGTCTTCTGGACAAGGTTCTGAGAGAACTTTTATCTGCCAAAATGATGGATTGAAAGATAAGATATCAAATAGGAAGTCCATTTCTTATGAAGAATTTGTTTTGGACCGAAATTTTCTGAAACTTGATATTGAAGCAAAGGAAATTCTTCGCACCCTGCTTATGAAGCTGCAGTTGCAAGTTGAATTAGTTACAACGAAGCGTGGTATTCTCCAGCCAACTGAAGCTATTCTTGTGAAATTAGTTCGGGCTTTTCTGGAAGCTGGTAAGATCAAGGATTTAGCTCAGTTTCTTATCAAGGCAGAGAAGGAAGAAGCACCAGTGTCTAATGATGATTCGGTGTTAGTTCATGTCATTAATGCATGCATTTCACTTGGGTGGTTGGACCAAGCACACGACCTTCTTGATGAGATGCATCTAGCTGGTGCTAGACCTAGTTCATCGGTATATGGTTCTCTCTTAAAGGCTTATTGTAAAACTAATCGAACTGGTGAGGTTGCATCTCTTTTGCGAGATGCTCGCAAGGCTGGCATACAGCTTGACTCAAGCTGTTATGATGCACTGATCAATTCTAGAGTGCTTCAGAATGACAACAAGGGGGCACTCAGACTGTTTCAGGAGATGAAAGAAGCTAAAATACCAAGATCTGGGCATAAAGAATTTAAAAGATTAGTTGAGAGTAGTGCAGAGAATGGTGAAGCTGGATTGATGGCAAAACTTTTACAGGAAATAAAAGATGGGCAAAGAGTGGATTATGGACTTCATGATTGGAACAACGTTATACATTTCTTCTGTAAGAAGAGGCTAATGCAAGATGCTGAGAAGGCTCTGAAGAGAATGAGAAGCCTTGGACATTGTCCAAATGCTCAGACCTTCCATTCTATGGTAACTGGATATGCTGCCATTGGTGGAAAATATATAGAAGTAACAGAATTGTGGGGGGAAATGAAAAGTATTGCATCAGCTTCATTCTTGAAGTTTGATCAAGAACTCCTCGATTCTGTTCTCTATACATTTGTGAGGGGTGGATTTTTTGCTCGAGCAAATGAAGTTGTAGAGATGATGGAGAAAGATAATATGTTCATTGACAAGTACAAATATAGAACCCTGTTCTTGAAGTACCATAAAACACTATACAAGGGCAAGGCTTCCAAGATCCAAACAGAAGCTCAACTAAGGAAAAGAGAGTCAGCCTTGGCTTTTAAGAAATGGGTTGGTTTGTATTGATTTGCTTAAAAATGTGTATTTTTTCAGTCAAATGCTCATGCATTGTCGGTCCTCAAGTTTTTTAGTTCAATACTGATGGACATGCCACTCAACAATCTCTTGTTGATGACATTCAACGCCACCACATGATTGGATTGATTTTCTCAGCTATATTGATGTATCTATCTTCAAGAAGCTGAGTGCATTAATAAAAAAGCTCTGAAGACATCAAATGTGGAGGTGGTAGGGCAAGATTCTGACTTTGGAGTTGCTGGAGAACAAGTAGCATTGCAAGGAACCGATCATCAAAGTCATTGATGAATGTTACTGGTGTAAGAAAGAAGATTATATGGACTATGGTTTGCATCTCCAATTCTCTTCCCCTTTTGCCCATTTTCATTTTCTCTGTGATCTACCTGCTCATTGCGGTGATGACGTTTGACCATAGTTTTATATTTATTTATAAGGAATTAACTGATCGGTTCGATCGTGAAGTCAATTTTTTAATCAAGTTCTATTTGAAAAAAAAACTCACTAGAACTAACTCGGTTTATATATTTTGATTTATGTTTTGTGAACTTCAGAGGTTCTTATGATCCTACTTGTTAATCTAGAGTTAAATACGTATACTTTTCTTCTCTTTCAGTGTTTCTAATCAGAGTTGATTACAGTAAAAGTATTGCTTATTGTGCTATTGTTATCTTTCAGTTTCTGCATGTGGTGATTATGTTTCGACATGTACTGTACTGTACTCCTAATTTATTCCTTGATA